AAAAAATAATAAACTATAAAAAATTATTGTTTGTGTTTTTGGTTAGTTTCAGTGTATATTCATAATATAGTCAGTGATCATCAACGCAGATAACATACATAAGCGTATTATCGGTACCAAAAAGAATATTAAAGATTTAAAAGTTTTGGCTTGAACTTTTAAATTTGAATATATACWGCTGTTTGAATAGACGCGACGGAAGGTGTGCGCCTACCCATTTTTGTAGTTACGCAAGCGAATAAATTATTTATTAAAATCGTATTTCAACGTGCGAGTATACATGCTACAGTATATATTATTATTATATATTAATATAATATAGAAACCCGGTGGTTATTTTTACACGCGTTTTTCGGCGAACGGAAAAAGAGAGGATATCATAACGACGTGGTCCGGCGGAAGTTACGGTGCAAATAATACTCGTATACGACCATGGTATACCATCACGGTCATCGTTTTCGCGGTTTCCGTGCGATAGTAATGCATTCTTTTTTTTTCTTTTTTATAATACGACGTGCAATATATAGAGAGGTACGCGTACGTATACATACAACACCATATAGTTTGCAACATTTCTGCGGATAATTTATCGCTGTTTTAGCCGTTGCAATTCATCCGAGTTACGGCGATACACGAGTTTTAAATTCATTACGAACGGTGTGTTTGTTCTAATGGTTATTTCGCTAATGTTTGTTAAAAATGAGTGTAATGAAAAAAAAAATGAGTTGAATTTATCATTCGAACGTTGCAGTTGAATTCATGAAATGAATGTGTGTGTAAAAACGATTGCGATATCGTATTATGTATGATAAAACTGCAAGTTTAGTGAGGCACTGCGTCATCGTTTATCTGCACAGTTATAGTAAATACTTATCCACGAAATAATTTTATCAGAAACGGTATATATTATTATTATTTAGTAGGGTATTACTTAAAAATGACCAGACGGACTTTTTCACGCTGATGTACTATAATATTTGGAATTTTTAATAATAATAATAAAAAAGTTTAATTATGAAATGATGATGGACGCGATGGCGGTTTAGTATCGTGAGGGATGTTCGTGATGACGGGTTCGTGTTTGTGGAACAGGTGGGGCGTACTGACGACTTCGGCGTCGGTGTACATAGGACGACTAATATAGAACCAAACGAGATGGCGGTCGCATCGACTTAAGGTCTGAAGTTATGGTTATTTTTTTCGTCTTTCTGTCGTCGGACCGTTTATCCGGCACGCGGTGTTTGGAGAGCGAAATGCCGAACAAGGTCGAGGCGAGAAAAAGAGAAAAAAAATACGTATGTATATACAAAACGGCAACAAACGTCGAGGCTGAGTAGTAGTATAAATGTACAGACCTGTCTCGTAAATTACGTCTGAAACGCAACGGCGGCGGCTGCAGTCACCGCAACGACGACGATGCTAATAAATTCTTTTTCGCATCCCGCAGTCACTGGCTCAGATTTGGCTGCCACGCTCACTGAAAACAAAACAATTAATGTAACGTGTTGGCCCTAAAGTGCGCACGCACGCCCATACACACACACAAACATTGCATATAGGTACATATTATTATACATATACGATAGGTATACACATTCACCACGTATATAGATTTATATAATAATATTATAGATATAGGTGTATAATATACCACGAGTCGGTATCGCGTGGTTACTATGACAACAAATCGTACATATCCTATGCACACACTTGCACTATTCGCAGTCGAAGACGACGATGACGACGGGATAAGCCTCGCCTTTATTATATTATTTTACGTGTAGGTGTTGTATGTACATGTGTGTGTGTGTGTTTACGTCACCACCCACGCCCGTGCAGTGTGTGTTTTCTGCAGACGATATAATAATAATATGCGACTATAATAATATATGGCCATAACATATAGTACTACTATATATAAGTATAGTGCATATACGCTCTAGCAGTGTGCTTCGAGTCTACTTAAATATGGCTGCGTTCCGTCCCTTCGCGGGCTTTACGATTTTTAAACATTATTCACCTTAAAACTGTACCCACGGTGGGCGTCAGGTAAAAAACATAAAAATAAAAATAAAAATAGACGTTACGTTGAACACCCTTAGCAGAAGTAGTAGATCGATTTCAAAATGCATCGACCACTATATTATAATATAATAGTACTCGATGTACTTGGTATAATATGTCGTCGATAAACACGATACCGTATGTTTTCATATGATGCAGGAGCGTAATTAAGGGAGTATGAGTGGGATAGACCCCCCCATTTTTTATTTTACCGCTGAAATTTTATATTTGGTGAGGTAAATTACTGAACGAGGCTTACTCACTTTGCTAAAAACATATAATCCTCCCTCTCCAAACCAAATTATAATTACGCCACTGATACGATGCTCAGTGTTCACGTCCCGAGTTGCCACAAGAATCTATATGGTCATATAATAATAATATTATATTATGTGTACAGTGTACGAGAATGAATGTTACGGTTACAATAACAATATACGAACATTACGAACACTTTGCACCGCTGCAGGATTACGATTCATAACGTTTATTTAATGTACCGGCTAAATTCGTGGAGAATTTATTTGACTTTGGTTTATTTATATAAACTTACTCGAGACTATTGTTATAATACCGTCTGCTCGTTATTCTGTGTTATTTTAATAATATAATTGTACCTATAATTTTCTAAGCGTTTGTCACACTTTAAACGGTCCAAATTGCTGTAATAAATGTTATGTCGCATACGAGTATAATATCACACACAGTACGTACCTATATAGTGARTGAATTATGATAAACACCCGTCCCTTACTGTTATGCGTCGCACCGTGTATGCCTTATGCAAGATGGAGATATTATCATAGGTGGAAATTCCCCCTACCCTAAGATAAGCCCCTAAGTGCTTTATTAGCCACCCTCAAGAACTGCAGACTGCGTTTAGAGTTGTATGAGATCGAAGCCTCCACGGTTCACATTGATGTTAAAATTGTTAGCCCAWCCCTTTAAAATTCAATGCCTTTCTGCATACATATATATTATATATACAGGGTGTCACGCAGAGATCTGACATTAGGTATGACAAATGAAATAACTTTTGTTCTAATCAATATTTTTTAA